AGTGCTCGGGTTGCAGCTTTCCCCAAATTACAAGTCACATGAAAAATTATAAATTACTTGAAAAGCTATATAGTGAACTCTACCTGAGCTATCAAAAAAAAGTAATTTGAGTAAAATACTACCTTTTCTCTACAATTCTCCCAGCCTCCTATAAAGGAAAGGTGAAGTGGCTTCAGTTGGTTTTTCCCTCTGCAAAGACGCAATTGGGCTGACTAAGCGTGACTAATTTGGAGGCTCGCTCAGCCCAGGAAACCTACACTGCAGGTTTGCCCTCAGGGAGGGTGCTGCTGTTGCCTTCATGACCAAACTGGCTTGAGGCTTGCCTGCTCATGCGGTCCTCCCGGACTCCTGGGATCTTTGCTTCTATTCTCACAGGAGAGAAGGGATCAACCCACTTACAACACTGGAAGAATAAGCCTTAAGGGTAGACTGTTACATTATTGAAAATACCATCTTTCCAACTGTGTCACTCATCACACTAAAATACTCCCACTTTGGAGTTCCAGTGAGTTTTCTGTGATCCTCCCTCGGCAGCTCTGCTCTCCGGTGCTCTGCCACCACCAGATAGCATTGACGTCCCCTAATGAAAACAAGCCTTTCCTTTTCCTGGCTGTGAGGCAGACTCTGTGACTCAGCAGAAGCTACTGTGTGAATAAACACCGTGGGCCAGATTCTTCTTGACACTCATGGTCCTTTCACACCCTTCTGGCAATGCCAAAGAGCCCTTGATGTGATTGTGAATGTGCTTTATGTCCGCTTTAAGGTCTTGTTGAGGTGCCAGGGGTGTGTGAGGAAGCCTCAGAATAAATGAAATCAGGCTCTGTAAGGACAGAAATGCTACAACCGCATTTCTGTGGGAACTTTCCCAAAAGTCATCTCCCACTGAAACTCCGCTCTAGGCTGATGCTCATTCTGTTGGTCACATGTGGCTCCCAGATCTTTTTAGTTCATCAGCCTCTGAACATATGTGATGGCGTCTCTGTGTGGTGGAAAAAAAAAGGTGGCTCCGCTTCCAACTCCACAAAGGATATGAGCAAGCTGTGTATGCTTCTGCACTCCATGTCAGTCAGTAAAATTAGATCCTTACAGCCCTCTCTCTTGAAGACTTGTAACCAGTTACACATCAGGCTGTACAGGGTTGTATTGAGGCATGAGTGCAGCAGGAGAATGGGAAGAATGCTGCTGAATTGGTTTCTGGCATTGCCAGGATCTTTCTGATAGCTGGTAATCTCAAAAAGAAAGCAGCGGTGAACAGACTGTGAGGACTATGTGGAGGTGTAATGGACACTTCTCAAATTATTACACTGCTTCATATAATGCTTTTTTTTAATTATGACTTTCTGATGACCTCATTTTAAGTAAAACAATGCAATAAAATATCTGCGCATTCAGAATTATTTTAAGTTATAGATTCATGGCTTTGTTTTTCTTGCTTGTTTTTGTTTGAGTTTTAAGATGAAAGCAAACACTCCAAGGTTATCCTGAAGAGAACCTGGGTATATGAAGCTTTCGTTAATTTTGCCAGTAGGGAAAAATACATTGCTTCTATTCAGACCTTCAAAATAATGTTTCATACTGCTATCAATGCAAAATAAGGAACTGATGATTTGAGAAGGGGCTAGTTTTCCAGAGGTGGCCAGTACTGTCCATGGTGCAATACAGTACCTTCAAAATGCTGAACATTATACTCATAAGCCTTTTGCAGCACTGCTGTTATTCCATGCAAATTCTCTTGCTCACTTTATATTAGAAATATTCACAGTGATTTTTGTAATCGCCATCTAGGTGTCCCCAGCAAGAGAGAGGGTGACTGAAAATGCAAAAAGACCAAAGAGCAATCTATGAAATTTAAGCTCCCAGGATACCCAAAGATGTATTTGTCACTTTGGACGTTTGCTGACTTTTTCCTTTTAAATTACTAAAGTCAAGAGCTTTAAAGAATAGAAAAGAAATTAGGGAAAGGCTTCCCGAAAGGGTTAAACTTCTCCCCTACAGCTTCTCTAAGCGGAACTGATATTCTTAGTCTGACTTAAGGATATGGAATAGAAAGGCTGCCAACATCTGTTGTGGTCAGAGACAGATAAAAGAGACTAATTCATAGCTGGAAGAACCCATGTACAGCATTCTGTGTTGCGTTACCCCTTTCACAAAAGCACGCAAAATAGCATTTGATAGTATGGAAGATAGATGCTCACCTGAACTTCTTCACTGTGAGGACCGAGGAGTTTCACATGTATATATATATATACCTTCCTCACCACACTGAGACACAGAGAGAGAGCACAACATGAAATATTTAGCTTCTAACTGGGGAATTCCAGGGCTGAGAATATTTCAGAAACATTGAGTATATAACCGCATTACTGTGAAATAGGAACAAACGAAAGAAACAAACAAAAAGAGAGAGAGGAGACAGGTGATTTGGGAGCTTACAGCTTTTGGGAGCAATACCAATTTAGCTTGCTGACTGTGAGAAAGTTAGCATAGAATAAATTAATATGCTAATTAATTTTGGAAGTGGATTAAATCCAAACTTCATGAAGACACTCAGAATAAGTGTGTCCACACAGAGACTTGAAGAAGAGCTAATGTGATTTACATTCACACCCCAATCCAGTTGTTACAAAATGCTCATGTAGACAAGCCTTTAAATTTGCTGTAACCAGCAGTTACTTCCAAGGAAGTCAATTGCATTACATCAGTGAAGAATAAGCAGACGGTCAACATCAGGTTTGCGGAGTACAAACTGCAAAACAATTGGGTTATTCTATATTTACTTTTGCCAGGACTGATCTCGCTATGGGAAGGGAACTTTGTTATCTGAAGTAGATTTCGAACAACAGTCATTTTACTGCAGGAAGGGAACATTTTACAGGCAGGCAGCTCAATTACATTACAAGTGAGACTACAAGTGACACCAAATGTGTAGTGTTTAAATGCTCTTCTAGTGTGAGTTCTACTGTCCTTATTCCAGCCGAGCATCTAGGGAAGTCATTCTGCCTGAGCAGGGGCAGCTCACTTCCCTCTTTTGCAATAAGGCAAGAATTACATCTCACCTTTTGTAAACGAATGCATCAGTAGATAAGATGCAGGCGCAGAACTAAAACTCCCTGGCAATGGGATCATGGTGCGCTCTGCACTCAAGGGTAGAGAAGAGGAGTTGCCATACGGGCGGTGTCCAGCTGCCCAGCTTCTGAGAGAACAAGAGCTAGAGAAGTCCTACCCTAATTTCTTCTTCTAGGAGGTGGTCCAGTCCTTACTCCATTGGATGACTGAGATAACGGTGCTTCTCTCCACTTCTTACCCTCTGACAGGCCCTAAAAACACTTGCCTTAGTTTTCGGCAAAGGTGCAGAGTGTCCCTGGCAGATATGGTAATGCCGGTCAAAATTCCACCAGTTCCACCAGAGAAATTTGCCTTTAGCTTCCTCCATCCATTTTAAAAGTCACCTTGCACTTCTTAGTCTTAATAGCCTAGAGAGTCTGGCCAAACATTTCTCACTTGGTATAATGAAAGAAAATCAGATTAGAAAGTGCTAGTTTGCTTCTGCACTGGATCAGTAATCAGGGATTCTTTAACATAAACACCACTTTCTTCTCATATGCGTACAATGTGCCTTTCACAAAACAGGTGTAAACTTAAAAACTGGCTTTGTGAACTCATTCCCCCATTGCCTAACTTATAACTAAATCTGTTTTTTCCAACTCAGTGGTATGCTTCTGTGTTAAATATCCAAAGAATTATTTAATCATATTTATTGAGGTTTTACTGCTGTTACACACACATATTTTGCAACATTAAAAGCCTCTAAATATGTTTTAAATTATTTATAAGAATTTATTTTGTCATACTGTTATTTCTTGAAAATATAAATATGTTTTGAATAACTGATCTTTACTTTACATGCATGGAAATCAATTATTTAAAACATATTTTGAGGTTTAAACAACTACACCATGACTACCTCTTCCGTTATCTCAGACTATATATATCAAAATCAAGATGCACGCTGCCACTTATTTGGAAGAGATCTTGCTACAGCTAAATGAAGTATCTGACACAGCTTTCAGAGCCCCACTGCATGTCTCCTAGTTATTAAATAATATGCCTAGGAGGCTAATAGCAGCCTTTGTATAAATCTGATCCTGTGGGATTTTGCCATCTAAAATCTGCCAGCCTCTAGATTTGTATTTCTGTAACTATGATAGCAGCTCCCTGTAAAGAGACAGGGCTTGGGCAAGAAGTAGGAGGATTTAGTACACCACACAAGTTCTTCGTGTTCCACAGTCCAAAATAGACTTATCTGGAGACAATTTACCAAGCGTAATTTATACCAGGCCCTGGCTGGAATGACTTGCACTCTTGCGGCTCTTCAGATGTATAGCCAATAGGGAGCTGTCACTCTACATGAGTTTTAATTCAGAGGTCCAAGTACAAAATCCAGTACTCGGAGACACCATGTGGCTTTGTAGCTCTCCCTGAGAGAAGCTGAGCCAATGGCTCAGCAGCTGGGTTACACACATCCACGGTTTTCCTACTTGTGACAGGTATAACATGGGTTATTTTCTTCTTTTTAACGTTTGGCAGTGTCCTTCAATAAACAATGAAGCCAAAGGATTGTAATCAGCTTTTCAGAGTAAGAAGTTTCTGTTTTTTAACTTAGCCGTTATTTCAGAAGGAGAGGCGTGGTCCTTAGAAATACCGAGCATTGACTACATTCATTGGAACAAATGCATAAGGAATATGTAATTGTCTTTTGAATCTATAAGGCCCTAGCAGCACAGATATTTACGAGCATGAAGTTCAAAGGTACTATATAACAGTCTTCTACCTATCTCATGTCTAATGCTGTATATTACATACATGTAACCCGAATCACAGCTTGTGCATAATTAATTATAGCAAATCTGGAATCTCTTCACTACAGAGAGGTCACCTGCACATAAGCTGGAACAATATACACAAATCTATCAAATATAAATAAAATAAAATGTACTCACTGCCAGGAGCTGTGCCTTCTTAGTATTTATTCCTTAACACAGTGCAAGCCACTCAATGCTGATCCATCCCGCAGCTAGAAAATTAGAAAATTAGAAACCAGTTTTCATTTAAGTGACCAACACGAAGTCAATAGTAATCACTAAGGAATATCTGCTATGTTTGAAGAAGCGGCGACCCACAATAAGCAGAGTTTAACACAGATTTTGTTGCAATTACAGTGTCTAGAAATCCTCAATTAAAAAATAAACTGATAACTCTTGTTACTTTTTTGACAAAATGGAAGAAACAGTTTTTGGGCAATATACTGCAAAGCTTTCTGAATAGCAACATGCAGAAACTAAATTATATTCACCTATATGCATACTTTAGAACAGACCATTGCTGCAATATCAAAATGCAATTTTTAGCAGTCTCACACCACCACTGTGTCCTCACTATATGCCTGTTTTACAACTGGGGCATGAGGCTAAGCCTAAGAGGCTAAGCCTAGCGTCACACAGGCAGTCAGGAAAGGAGCAAGCGCCCACCAGGCTCTCGATCGCTACCCTAACGGCTAGAACATCCTTTTCCCTTGGATATACGGGGAAAAAAATCCGTGCACTTTGTGGCACGCTGTTCCTAAATCACAAAGCAACAGCCAGAGCCTGCGAGGCAGTGCCGTAGTGGGAATTTCCCTTCACTGAAACTGAAACAGTATGTTTTTCATTGGTTAAATATCCAAATGGATTACACAATGCACATGGCAGGGTCTTAGTCCTTCATTTTAACAGGTCTGCTCCCCCGTGGGAAAGTACTAGAGAAGTTTCCTGGATATTTGTGCTAAAATAGCTGAAATTGTTACCATAGCAGTATTTCAGGCCCTCATATTGCAAACGCTCACACACATACAGCAGTCTCACCTGCTTTGATCCTTATCAATAATAAGAAAGTTCTTTTAAATTCTCTAAATTATTTTAAATTCTCTACATTTTTGGATGAAACAAGGTAATAACCCCGACGTCAGGGAAATGCAGTGACCGAAGAGCAGCAGCCCAAGACTGCGTCAGGATCTGCCTGAAGGAGAGAAAAACCATCTGAAGACTTTGAGGATTTATCTCAAAGACACCAAAAAGGCTTTTTTAGCTAACCTTCTGACGGTTTTCTTAATTGCATTTGCATCGGCATCTCACTTTAGCACCCCGTCCGATAAAAAAAGTTCACTTGGGCTGTGCCTTATTGGCGCTTTCCGCCAGCAAACTCCCTCTTCCAGAGGTTGCTGCCAGCCGAGGAGAAAAATTATAACGCAGACCTTCTCCAAATGGCCGGTTCACGAAATGGCCGCCGCGAGGCAGCCCAGAGCCGGAACCGCCCGGCGCCGGTCTCAGCCGGTTCCAGCCGGCCCCTGGCAGCCGCCCCAGGTCAGTAACCACCACCTGGGTGAAGGTGTTTGCTTAGCGCGCCGCTGAACCGGACCAAAACCAGAGCGAGCCTGGAGGACACGGAGGAGAGAGGATGAGGCTGGATTCCTCATTATTTTAATGGGCCACTCTTTCAAGGTGGCTGATAACTTCGGGAAGCTGTTCAAGTGGTGAAACTGTTTCTAGGCTATCAAGTTGGTGTAAGTATTTACTTTGAATCGTATGTGGCGATTCAGCTGCCAAATCTCTTTTATCTGTGACAATTTCCAGTTAGTAGGTGTCACTTGCACGTTGCTTTACATACAGTTAAGATTTTACGGATTAGCCATGCGTGTCCCAGCTTTGTAACAGCCTTTCTTTTACGCCTTCCCAGCCTCTTGCAACAAGTGACACAGCAGTAGGACGCGATAGGGGACGATATCGCCAAACACATCTTGGGCGATGGATGCGCGTTTTGGGCTTTATTCCTTACGCTGCGTCTGAGGCGTTTAAATTACTAGGAGCGTTCGCGGTAGGAAAATAGCAGCTATGGCTGTTCTTGTAAGGTCACGCATTCAAAATACAGGTTAGTAACGGCAAACATATCTCCTGTTGTCTGTGAACTGTCAACATTTTAGGCAATTAAAATGAAGGAGTACCTTTTAATTCTCTAGTCCTTTGATCCGGTGATTTTAAAGCATTTGGTATAGCCTGTCTCTAATGCCACCTCTGCTTGGCACCAAGCAGTCACAAAAGATAAGGACCCTGCCTCAAAAGGCTTACAGTTAGAAACATGAGAAAAATAAACTGATTTGAGAAAACTTTGCAAGATCAATAACTTTCATGCTCCCATTTCATAGACAGATAGACCTCTCTACGCTGTCTTCGGTAGACATATATAAGGCCTGCACAGTAAAACAGCACAAATTCTAGCAAGGCTGGGTATGAGAGCGAGTCAGAAAATACAGAGCGTTTGCCTCAGTTTTTCATCTAGAGTATTTCAGCAAAAAATAATATTTCTATTCATACCAGCTTAGATATTTCCTACTCCCTCCTCCTTTATACGCTCAACTTTCTCCGCGGTGCAACACATTCTCCCTTACCGATGAAAGCAATTCCTGGCCCTAGCACAGCAGGGAGATGGGGATTCCCATGCCCTTTTTGTCACCTGACGTGTGACAAAACTGGGATCAATCTTCCAAAATTATTCCACCCCAAAAAATTAGCCTGTATAATTCATTCAGGCCTCATGACTGTGAGAGGGGGACCAAGAGCTAGTCAGTCTTGCCATGCAGCAGCAATTTTGCCTGTGAAACAGAGTAGTAGCAAGTCTTAACAGAAGGCCCAGAAGAAAGGTCTAGCAAGCTCCTTGCAAGCTTCTTGCAGGAGTCTTCTTTATCGTCTTCCCTCTCCTCTATTAGAAGCACCTTCCAAATTATGTCCTGCATGCAGTCAAAATAATACTGGTACACTGTTGACATAGATTTTGATGAGCAAATAAAGATCATAAAAAATATTTGAGAGCCGTCAGATGATAGGGAAGCCCAAACATTTCCCCACGACAAGAGAAAGAGCAATCAGCAGTAGCCTAAAAAGAAGAGGGTAATTTTTGTTTACAATACTTGAATGTGAGAGCAAACTGGGCCACCCATTTAGAGCCGGATTCTGCTCCTTGATTGCACAGCTATTTTTAACTTCTGTGTCTTTATAACGAGTCTGGCTACAAACTTTGCTACAGTTCCTCACACAAAAGAGAAATCATAGACTTTCAGCAAGACTGCCTCATTTTAGATTAGATGGCAATTTTATTTGGAAAGTGACAGGAAAAAAAAAAGTAGCTTCTCTTACTTGGCAGATCTGCTCCCTGTGTGTATTCAGTTTTAATTTATTCATGCTGGTGATGAAATACATTCCCTTAGTTTTCACTCGCTCAGCCCTGCAGAGCTGATAGAGCTCAGAGAAGAGAAGCAACCTCTTTTCAGGGCTTCCCAGAACACATTCCCCATCCTGCCCAGACATTTTATCTATGTGAAACTTGAAAGATTTGTGTCTGGTTTTTTATTTTAATTTTGCTAGCATTTCTGTAGATAGCACAAGCGCAGGTGGGCCTTCCCCTACAGCAGCCCAACAGGGCTACTATGTGTCCAGATGTTTCTGCCTTCCAGGCCCCACAAGCACAGTACATCCTAGGACTGCGCCATGGACTGCAAAAGCGCTGCACAACCTCTGAACAACTCCTGAGCAACCTGGGAGGCTCCAGATAGAGCAGCTGAGCAGGTACAGATCAGCCAGGCAGAGGGATTACACCACCATCAATGCACTGTGATGGGGATGTCGTTGGCCCGGTGTCCCTCAGAAGGGTGGGCCTACTGCACGTGCTCTATAATCACATGCAAAAGTATTGTTGTCCAGGAAATTCTAGACAAAAACATGGCAGCTCTAACGCTCTCAACTCTGTTTCTTCTCATGCAACAGCAGAGCAAGTGCACTGCTTCCAGCGGCTTGCGGTGAAAAATTGGTGAGTCAGACTCTCCACACCCAAATTTGTGGGACCTGGTTTCTACCAGGTGATTTTTAAAATAATAACAATGCATCAGAAGTTTTCTCTTCTCGCTTCTGACCCTTAGGATGTATGCTAGTTATTTTTCCAAGGATTTTTTCCTGCAAATCTGAAGGCTAGAAATTTACTCTTTTTTTAAGGAAGACCTATTCAGCTAGCAGTAGGTAAAGCATGAGAATCACCATCAAGTAAAAACTATGAGATTTTCACATAATTCACTTGTCTCCAATAGCTAAGGCCTCAAACAAAAGTTGTAAGATTTATGATAAAAATTATCAGGATTGTCAACAAGGCATATAAAAATGCCACTGAGCTTAAGCAAAACTTTTACAGGCGGTGAGCCTGCAAACGTAACCAAGGGTTTTTTTCGGTCGCAGTACTACCTCTGTCATTGAGGCCACAGCTTTGCCTCCTCCTCCTTCCCACTTGTAAAGCCCAGTGCAAGCAAATGTGTCACAAAGTCACAATTTTCATCAGCCACCAAGTATATTGCATAACCCTGAGGCCTCCCCCGTTTCCCACAATATAGATTTGTTTCTCCAGCTATTACATCAGGAGAAAAGGTCCATTTACTCAAGCAAGCAAAGTCTAAACACGTTGTTTGCAAGAAAAGCTGTAAGAGGTGGTAAGTCTGGTCCCAACTTTTAAAATTGTGGCTGCAAAAGGACACATATAGAGGAAAGAGGAGGAGTGGCCCTCCCTGTCCAGGGATGTGTGGGACAGCCTGCTTTGAAGAGAAACAACGCTTCTGCAACATTTGTTATATGTATTTGTTTGGTGGTATGTAAAAGTGGTATTCTGCAAAGGGAGCCATCAGGCAAACAGCAAGGACGACAAAGACGCAGCTGAAAAATTTATGCTTTCCTGGTGGCTCCCTCCAGAGCCTAGAGTTTAGCTTCCTGAACTTTAGGGGGAAGCTTTATTCTGAGGGGGCTGTTGATTGTTTGGTTTTTCATTTCTACATAATTTCAACAGATTCCCTAAGACAGAAAACTCTGGAAATCAATCATCCAAATATATAAATAAAAGGAGAGAAAAAAGAAAAAAAATTATGTCACCCTCAAGCAGTTCCATCAAGGGATGACATTTTAAATCACATCATGTCTCACACCCATTTCTTAGTGCAAAATAAATCACTTGAACAGAGTGCAAGCCAATTTTTACTTTAAAAAATGTTGTGTCCTAAGGCTCTCTTCTTGAACTTCAAAAGCATACTTCATAATTACTCTACCTATCAAAGGAAACTCAATATTTCACCTCCAACCTCCCTCCGCTAGTGTTATAATTTTTAATTGTTAATAAATTATATTAATTTTAAACTGGTTATTCTCTCTTGAAATTACATCTTTCAAATGAGTACGGAAACTTATTTTAAATTAACATATTTACCTTAAAATTGTATTTTAGTAACTTGTTTATGACATTTCTTCTCTATTAATTCTTCTATTAGTATTTTAATCTTGGGATACCCCATTTAATTTGATTTGAGCACTACTGTCTTGATGTAAGAGTCAAAATTGTTTTATAGAGCTTGAGATTTCTAGAAAGGGAATATTTTTCTCTTTTTAGCACATTTTAGATATTTAGTTTAGAGGCATCACTCTGCACTGCACAAGCTTTTATCCTTTGCAAGCTTAAAACACAGGAGAAAAATTTGGAGGCCATATTTACAATCTAAAAGCTGCCTTTACAGGTGCATACATGCGGTGTTAAAGAATATACCACATCAGGGTTTCTGGTGGGACTGCATGATTTCCTTTAGCTAGCATGTGTATTGATTAACACTCAGTCCTTGCAAATACCTTCAGGAAGGCTAGACACAGCAGGCTTCATGTATTATATTTTCTGTAAGCGTAAGAGTGCTTCTGGAACAGGGAAGCAAGGTAGGTGCCTGTGCACGTTCAAGTTTGATACTCTAGGAGTTTAAATACTCTCAGTGACTTTTTAAGGCCAGTCACATGCTGAAATGAGTATTGCAAAACGGTAGAAAAGTACCCCTATACTGATGCCCCTATAACATAAATCAACGTTCTTAAAACTCTTGCTTGCAGGAATTACCCTCGTGTCAGGAGCAACTGAAATAGGTTGCAAGTCTTGTGCCAGAGAGGGACCAGGCAGAGAAGTTCAAACCCAGCAACACTCAGGTTGCTTCTGAGGCTCCAAGAGTCAATCAAGGAGTAATGGAGCACACTGCAAACAAAAAAACGCATCCAGTTGGTGAACTCAACTGCGTGGCTGAACAAACAATTCCCCCATTGAAAGAAAAATCTTCCCAGAGATGCCTCTGGGATTTCTGGGCAGCGCTCAGGAAAGAAAAACAATGCGCAGACTGTCCCTAGAGAGCGTGCTGCAATGTTACGTTAAGCAGTGTCTAGAAGACACTATTGAGTGCCAGGTGGATACTCCCGTAGTCTGCAGTTTCTTTTAAAAAAAAACAAAAAGGAGGCCAAGACTATCTCAA